GGTTTATTGTCAAAATATATACAGGTGCTTGTATGCCTATTGAAACTAAACAAAATTCGACCAATGCACATCTGTTTCATGTATTAAAAGAACGTTGCGATATTCTCATGGAATTGTTAAAGGGCGGCAGTCGTGGTGCCGCGTCTAGTTCGACATGGGACTTATAGCGACGTATACAACGCGTTTAAAATACATTGTTTATTTACATGAAATTCGAACACGCGCTGCGCGACGACCACCGCGCTTTAAATCTTGGTATCATTCCCAACTGTCACCAAACTGTACGTTTTGACGACTCGTATGTACTTCTGGGACTTGTAATAATTTTCTGGGAACTGTACAGCAAATCGCATATTTTCCTTATTAGTATTTCATAGTTTTTCTAAATTTCAGTTTTTATTGTTCATAATTATTTATAATAACATATTTTTCCGATTGTATGCATGACAGCTTTGCCCACACACAATAAGACAGGATGATATGTACGAATATGTGTGAGTATGTTTCATGGATTAATAGGCCACTCCTTTGCTTCAATTCCAACTACATCTCTGGAAATATCACTTGCTGTTTATCATCCATATTTTGATATCCCACAATGTGTCGATTGCGTATCTGGAAATTCTAACTACTATTTCGCAAAATTTGACCAGCCTTGCTTCTACCAGTCATTTAATTCAACTCCCATATTGTCCTTCACAGTGAAGGTTAATGCAGATATATTGTAAATTACACATTACAAAATTACAATACATTTGAGCTGAGGCAGTTATGGTTCTACAACCATCACCAGTTCTCTTGTACTATTATATGATCGAATCGCCCCACATTAAATGTCTTAGGTGAGGTGTTTTAAATGTTTTACAAAATGAGCCAAAACTTTGCGAATGACAGTTTCAATGGAACTCAAATGATTATTATACGTGAAATATTGACCTTGGACAATAAAAATAGACTCTGTCGGTTTCAATATACATTTTATTCATCGTATACAACATAGGAAAACATCTTTGCCATTTGAACCAATTGTAAAAGAAATGATACTTACAACAATAAATATTATTTTCAAAACGTTCTTGTTATCTACAGACAGGCATCTTCCTCGGAATTAATACTTAAAGTGCTGCATTTATCACATAGTGCTTTCAATTTTTTTGTAAATATGTATATATAAGCATAGTATGTTACGCCTTGTATTATGTACGTGACGCAGTATAACAACCGCGACCCTTTAAACCTATCCATACCGAACACCATTTCTATCATCGAGCAGTTTTAGAGTAGCTGCAATGTCAAAGAACTAGACTAGACTTCTGAATAGAAATAACAAAGACGTCATATATAGTATATAAAAAGTCGAATATTTTGTAATAGAACATTTAAAGATTTATTATTGTGAGCATGGTATTCCGTTATATGACGTGTACATACAATACGTAGACTCGTTTAATGATGTAACCATCACGTTGGCTGGTTTAAAGGTGGCTTACCGGTGTGCACCACAATATAACTGGGTTGGACATTAGCACGTGATGATTACGTGGCTAGGTCAATTGTTTCATAGAACTTTGTACAAGACATACTGAAAGACACATGAATATTTAGCGAGTACTGAAGAGATAGCAGTTATGAGCCAGGATGAACAACATGGCGGATTTGATGACGTACTTGACACATCACGTGACACTGAAAGCTACAAATAGTATATTCACTACAATATTCA